ATCGGAAGATGATATAGGTGGGACAAGGAAAAACATAGAAGGAAGATGGAGATAAAAATAGGAAAGGGATACGACAGTAATATATTTGGGACGCCTTTTTTGCCAGAGCAGGGCCGGGTGGTATTATCGATAAACACTAGTACCTAGATCAGTCTAAGAATCTCGTCACCGTGAACTGTCTCCGCTTTAGCCAAGTTATAATTCCTTGCCCCCGCAAGCCGAACTCTCTTTATAATCGTATCTTTGCATTTATGTACTTGTATGTGTATACATATGTAATATATATAACATATCTTTTTGCTTTCTTTATTTTTTCCTTTATTTTTTTCTCTATCATGTTCTTATTATTCCTTTTTATTAATTACAATTTTTTTGCACAGAAGAAACCAGACTTTTTTTATTATGTTGGAATATTATCATGTGTGTCACAAAAACCCACTCAATTATGATTAGCAATATCATCCTTATCATATTGTTAATATTAATATTATTATACCCTCGATATTATGCTTTTCATAAATAGGGTGTGTAGGTAAGTAGAGTAGGTAGATAAAGATATATAAAATATGGTAAGCGAATAATCAGTAAAAAGGGGCGGTGAAAAAGGGGGCACGAGAGGAATGAAAAGTAGATCACCAATACAAACCGCGATTTCGCAAGTTGCTCGGATTTTTTTCCCTTTTACTTTTTTTTCGAAACAATGATCGCAATGATTGGGGACAAGACTTAAACAATGATCGCAATAAGAACAGGGAATTTTTCTCTCGTCTAATCATTACTTTCAGATGAATTGAATTCATCGCTATCAATAAAACAGTCGATCGATGACAAAGAAGAATTAGACTTAAGTAAAACATGAATAAAAATTAACAAAATACTCATAATAGATTGGGAAAACAATCGTCATCTAGACATTGTGTCTGTAATGCATCTATGATTTCGTGTTTTTTTTTTTCATATTGTGTGTCAGCCTGTAAATCATATAATGATTCCATGTTACAATGTGATGTATATGCGATCTTTTATATTCGTGATTGGTCGGTCTCTATGGCATAATCGTTTGATGTAGAATCAGACTCCATATTGTATTACATATATATATCCGCCAATTCTACTATTATATCAAATCCGATTTAGAGCCAATATATTGTTATATATGCGATTATCGTCTCGTTTGGTGTGTGTTACAATAAACAGAAGACTGATATGCAGTTATTCCGTTATTACAATATCTTTTTTTTTCTTTTTTTTCGTCTTTATGTCGTATTTGTTTTCATATTCCAGGGGTGCGTGTAAAATACAAATTATTTGCATATATTTTCTTTTTTTCTTTCCTTTTTCAAATAATCATCCAGAACAGGGGGTGTCTGGGCTCCAGGGACAGGGACCAACTACAGCCCGCACTTACAACTCTTACTAATTAACTAACAGGCTAACAATAACAACAAGTCAACACTCAAAATGTGTGCTGTATGTGTTCATGCATTTGTAAACATTAGATTTTACATCCTATTTCAATCCGTGACTATCATTATCAAATTCATAGTCAGTCATCTTTAAAAACGTTTCCTCTCTTATTTTTGTATATTTACTTTCAACGAACAATTTTTAATTTTTTACTTATAAAAAAGAAACACATCAACAAATAAATATATATTATGATTTGAATCTGAATTTGTCTTGGCTACTCGGATACTGTCATTGAAAAATTTACTGTACAAGCAGATTTCTTTACGATAGTGAGCAATACTCTTTTTTCCCCTTTTTTGTCCTATTTAATAAAACCCTTGCCTGACTGTAACCAAACTTAATCTGGGAGACATTCGCAGAACCGTTGTCTTGCAACGTTTTACCACTCGCTACTTTCGCGAAACTTTGCCTGACTCTTAATAATAATAGTTTCACTGACTGTACACGTTTATAGACCAACAATAGAAGGTCTTGTGGCGCACTTGGCACGCTCCACGCACACATACACATACAAAGACACATTCCGCTTAAAGAAAACTTCCTTTCTCCATTTCTTGCAAATACACGTCTTAGACGCTCATCCATCTCGCATACTCGCTAAATATCGCATTCTCGCCCTGTGCCTTCTGCTTGCCTAACGTACCTACTACATTTCTCACTTCTTCAATCTTGGAAATTTTTGTCTGCTCTATCTCTCTTTTGTTCCCTAACACTTTTGTTTCCTTTCCATGCTACCTATTTCGTTTCACAGCTTATCTAACACACACGCTTCGTCACGTAGATTCATAACAGCATCATGTATTAAACCGCAGGCTTCTATGAGTTCTCTTAACTAATACAAGCCATCACAATCCTTATGTCAACATCACTGATCTTCATCACTTGGCAGTAAACAATGTGACAATGCAGTAGTGGTACTTAGATTAGTATTATCATCATAATAATAATAGTACGGGGTGAGTGGGCGGTCACACTCCGATGTAATAATTAGTCTCAGTGGCACATCACTGTACATAATCACAACAACAGCGGGCGATGGTGGTGGCGCAGAGTACAGTTGCTGCGTATTATTAATATGAAAAAACATTTACAATTACTCGAATTGATTAAGAGCGATAATAATATAAATGGATGATCTTTTCCTTCTCTCCGTCTATAGAATTTCTTTCCCCTTCTCTCTCTCTCTCGCGCGCGCACACACTCATGTATACATACACTCCTCTTTTTGATGTTAACTTCTTTTTTTTTCCTCTACTTTCTCTTTCTCGCTTCGGTCTATCATGCATTTGTTCGTGCGTGCGTATTTTTTCATCACAAGCTTGTAGAAGTTAGCTCCATGATTGGTAAGAGTCTTGATACCATTCGTGATCATCACCAGAAACACCGCCGAGCGCGCCGGCTCTATTTCCGAAACTTATGTCACCGCCACCACCACCAGTGCCACCATTCACACTCGCCAATCCGTATGCATTGCCCAGTGGTTGTTGGGCGAGGGGCTGGTTTCCCCAGTTGCTCTGGAAGCGACGCTTAGATTCCCCCTGGTTCTGGTGACCCCCGTCAAATTTTCGTTTACCTGCTGTAAAAGATATCACCATCGTGATAAAACAAATATTTATGTGCAAAAAAATTTTTTTAAACATTAATATTAGATCGAATGACATCCTTTTTATCATTGTTCGTGTGGGACATTTGGAAAATATTATATATAGGAAGATAAAAGAGAGATTTTTAGAGTTTTTTGTGTGAGTATATGGTGTATATGATGTGTTCAAAAGATATGTGGTCGAATAGTAATATAACCACAAGCTCAGATTCGTGAAAGATTATTATAAAATACAAATTAGTCGGTATATTCTATTGACTTTATAAAATTGCAAAATCTTTGAACAAATACTATCATAAAAAGGGGGAAACTAACCTACTGCTCTGTTACAATAAAGTAGATGGGACTCGGATACCTTGGTTGAAAGGTGGATTGGATCGTTTACTGTAAGATGAATAATACGTGAAAAATCTATGATAATGTAAAGGAATGTGCAGTCATATGATAAACTAATTATTATATATTATCTAAATAATAAACACTCAAAAAACCTCAGGATGACTGAAAATATTGATCGTTAGCAAATCTGTAAAAAAAGAATCAGAATATATAATTAAATATCTCGAATAATATAAAAGATTTTGCATAGTGATCATAACAAATTCAATGTATCATTCCTTTTTACAGTAATTAATTGCACAACTATCGCCTTTGTATTTTAGTTAAGGATAAGGGGGATAAACGTTCTACAAATATATCATCGATATTACGTGCATGTAATATCCGAATATTTTATTTTTGTAAAAACGCAGAAGAAATTAATATTGGAAAAAAATTATCCAGAGAATAATTCCGGTGCTTAGAAACATTGTTTGGATGTTGGATTCAATATATGTTTTTTTTTTTTTTATGAAACAGGGACAGAGCAGAGAAACTTATCGCAAATATATAATAAAAGCAGATATCTAATAGAAAGCTGCTTAGCGAAGAGTATTATTTAGAGTAATTAAGAAAACTCGTGGAACATTACGTGTGATGCGATGTTGCGATCTGTAACAGCTAGTACCATAATAGCAATATAGTAATAGCAAAAAAAAAATTTATATTTGCCGAAAGAAAACGTAACAAATTTTCTTATAATAATAATCACTACTAAAAGAGTCAAGCAAGCTAGTAAAAAAATGTTTGTTTTATTATTAACAAAAAGTTAAACCTATATTTGTACTATATATACAGAGTGTTTATCATAATGTAATATCCACGAATCTTTTTTATATATATGTGTATATAAGTATTGCGATAAACTAAGATATGTATATAAAACTATCTATTTTAAATGGGCAACAAACAGTAAAAAAAATATGAAAAATTAATTTTTTTTCAACGAAAGATTTATGTTATCTTGAGTTTCTTTTAAATGACCCCATATTTTATTTCTTAAATAAATTGATTCTTCATCAAATTGATCATTTCTCATATAAAAGTCTCAGGTAGCATTTATCAAAAAATTAATAGTTTAGTGAAATGTCCTATATTTTATATTACAATATATTAAAATATGTTATGGAATATCTCGTAAACTATTAATATATATTTCTTGATAATCTTATTTAATATTTTTCTTTATAATATTTTCATATGCATTATACCTAGAACGTATGTCCATCAAAAGATTTATGCAAAACAATTATAAGAAATTATGTAAAAAGATATATTATTTTAAAAACTCAAGATGACTTTGATTTTTTACTGGAAAAAATTTTCGACGATTTTTTTCTTTAACTTATTAGTAGTTTAAAGTAATAATAAGACAATTCCACATACATTTTTTTATCAATCTATTGTAGATGCTATAAAAATCATGAATATTGTTACCAAAAACACTCTGTACATAATATCGCGAAGGAGAGAGAAATTCAACATTTTTAATTATGTTTGTATCAATGCCTAAAACTATATATAAAAATTTAATAAACAAAATAATACCTACATATATATA